TTCGCCTTTACTAGTTCATACAATTAACAGGTTACCCTTTGTTAAGACTTGTAAACACTTGTAGAGCTGCGAAGTGCTATAAGGGAGCCACTATGGTTACAGAAACTTACAGGTCTTCACAAGGTGCCCTGAACTTGCTTCGTTACGTACTCTTTGGTGCCACCACCAAGCCGAACTGTGCCAAAGATACAAAACAAGAGCGGGACATTTCAAATAATTGTAAGAGTTAGGGAAGTGAAGAATCGATATTGAGCTCAGCTTCATCGATGACGCTTGCTGATTACAGGAGGCGGAGCAGTACAAAAGGCGAGGAGACGAGGCATGCGGGATTGGAAGGCAACTGGAGGACGGTCCTGCTGGACATCGACGTCGGACACACTCACCCCACGGACCTCCGCCGCCCTCGGGCCCAGAAGTAATATATTCGGTCAATATTCGGTCAGTATAACTACTAATAAACTGTTAATATTCCACTTGTGCTCACTGGTAGCAGCCGGACGTTCCACAAGGCGGAGGTGAGTTCCACCAACTTTCAGTTTATTAAAGTTTCTGGTTTCTATTATTCTGGGGGCCTTCCCCTTTCACGACTGATGGCCACAGTTGTGACGTGGGACAAGCCCAAGAGGTTTCTTTTTTTCGCTTCTCTATTGTTTTCCGGGTATTACTTGCTATAAGAGGATCATTTACGCATTTCCCCTCTCGTCAGCTAATTTCTCTTCCGTGGCACTGCGAGTGTGTTCGTCTAGGAGGGTATTAAGACAAACCTCATGGTCCGACCCAGTCGTCATCCACTCCTCCGGTTCTCCGACTTTTGCGAACGACTGCAGTCTCTATCTTTAACTTTTTCCCTCTTACTTCTTCACTCGGCGTCCAATGTACTCTTGGGAGACCTTCTGGTCACCTCTCAGACACACTTTGGAAGACGCAGTGTAGGCATTTCTTTTCTTCTTCGCCCCTTTCCTCCTGCTTGTTTTTTTTTATTTCGTTGGAGGCTATCAGAGGACTCCTAGGGTCAACGCTCTGACGCAAATCAGGGGCGAAGCTTCCGCAGGACTGGTCCCACGACCGGGAAACATGTTTCCAAGTTTGTTCCAAGTAGTGCCTCGCGAAGAATGGCTTAGACGCGCACGGTTGCAGAAGCTCAGGGAGCACTTCCTCTCGTTAAAGAATCCTGCGCAGTATCAAGAGTAGGTTTAATGGCCATACGGGATTGCATGGGCATCCCAATAGCTTCAAGCGCTACACCTTTTTTTTCTGACAGCAAAATGCAGAGCTCTAATTGTCGATCCTGGTCTCTTTTCGGTTTCCTCTCTTTATCATGCGTTTTAACGATCGTCTTTCAGTGACCTCTCGCGGCCTGCGGCGATACCGTAATACTGGCGCTGCGTCAGGCGCCATCAACGCAGAGGCGCGCGCGGATGTTTACAGTGCCAGCGCTGTGCAACAGCTTTTCCTCGCCTTATCTCCGTTCGCCATCGCATTCCCATCCCAGACCGCAACTTTTTCTCATGCTTCACCCCTGTTTCCCATCACATCAACTGACTTTCGCTATCATCGGGGGAATTTATTTTCACTATTTCTTTTGTTTTCAATCTTTTCAAAAGCATTTATGTATTATCGCTTTGCTGCATCTTCCCTACATTATATGTTTTGGGATCGTACACCCACACCTTCGTTATATCTTATATAAGCTACCCGTCGTTCTTTTGACACTCAGTGGTTCACAACTCACGTAGCTCATGCCAGTTACTCGAAGTCTTGCTAAATCTTCTTCTTCATCAACGCTTGCGGCTTCTGCCCAGCCTTCAGACCCACATACCGTCAAAGGTGAAACCCCAATTGGGCCTCTCTTTTCTTCTCTTGACGACCTTCAGGACGATACCCTTCTCCGTGGTCGTGATGCCAAGCTCCTTCGCGACGCTACCACGTCAGCCATCACGCAGGTGTGGAACGACACTTGCGCCACGGCAGCTCTTTTGAGTCGTAAGATCAACGAAGGTAACGCGTCCCTTAAAGAGAAGCTCAACGAGTCTTTCGCGGCAGTCGGTCAGCGGTTGGACAGTCTTCCCGCTGTGGCAATGATCCAGCCTGACTCTCAGGCACCTCGAGTCACCCCTTTCACTGGAGCTTCCGAGAATGGGGTGCAATTTTCCATTTGGTTGAGGCGCCTGGAAGACATCATGCGCATGAAGCCTGTCCCCCTTTCAGACGAGCAGCAGGCCAATTTCCTAATTGGCCACCTGGATGGGGTTGCCCGCGAGAAAGTCGAGGAATTAGACGCGTCTTCTAGGCGGGTTTATTCTACGGTCGTTTCACATCTCACGTCCTTTTTCGAAAGCCCACAGCAACGTTATGTGGCACGTCAAAAGTTGTCGACTTGTCGTCAAGAACCAGGGGAATCTTGTACCTCTTTCGCTAATCGTATCCTTAACTTGGTACGCGCCGCAACATCTGGCCAGGATCCCGATTCCCAGAAAGACCGAGTGCTCGAGGAGTTCGTGGCCCGCTTGCGCGGGGACATTCGATATTTCGTCAAACTAGATAACCCTGTCTCCTTCGAGCAGGCCGTCACCAAAGCCCAGACCGTGGAGCAACTACTAAGTGAAGCCACGGCCGATCGCCTACTTCATCCAGCCTCACTGGCCTCTTCACCTGCTCCGGTTCAGGTGATTGCACGCCCTAACCGTGGCCGCGACTTTTCGGGCCAGGCTCCGGCGTCGGTCGATCCTCCGCGACGCTCGCAACCCATCTCTTATTCGCGGTCTTCATCCCAGTCTTCACGTCTTCCGCCGGCTCGTCCACGAGCCGCGACCGAGTCGCGTTGCTTCAACTGTAATGGCTTCGGTCATTTCGCGTCCGTCTGTCCGTCGGCCAAACGTACACGCGCTTTTAGCTCCTGGACACCACCACGCAGTTTCGACGCCCCTCAGGCGCCGCGTAGGGATCGCTTTCGCGGTCCCCCATCTCCTCGGGCTCCCCAAGCCAATGTTCTTTCTTACGGACCGGCGACTGCGAATGCGGATGCCGATGCCCGCGTCGCTCAGCTCACGGCTTCGCTGAACAACTCCCAGGTGCAGCTCCGTAACTCGCAGGCCCGTATTGCAGCGTTGCTCGATCGCAACCAAGAGCTTTCGCAGTTTTCAGGGGATCAGCCCTCCTCCTCTAAAGCTTCAGTCTTCTTCTTCTTCCATCCCCGACGTGCGCTTCTTATTTTGCCTGTTGCTTTCGGTATTTTGCCTATCGCATCCAGGCGGGGCTTCTAATGCATGGCTTTGTCCATCTGAGAATCCGGCCACCCTGTTTTTCGTCCCCGACCACCAAAATTGTTCGGAGCTCTTGCCCAACCATACGACACACTTACGTCGAATTTCACTACACATCTATCGACCGAATACACAGGTATATTCGTCCCCTGCGTCTCTCTGTAAGATCATTCGGCACTCCGTTACGTTTTCGGTTAATTTTTTCGGGGCTCGCAGAGAGCATCATACAGAGACGCATTTACCTGTTTCAGTAGAGGAATGTAAGCAGATGGTGTTCCACCACCGTTGCCTTCATGGTGAGCTCCTTGAAACCTCAGGCGTGTGGCGCACACGAAACCAACTTGAATTTAATTTTCCTTCAGCACCGTTTGGGTGCTGCGTCGATCACTCCGTCACGGTGACAAATTGCTACTCGTACACCACCTCGGTCCACGCGAAACATGGGGATAAAACCCCTCAAACACCGGTAGGCGATTTGTCCGCATGTACTTACAAGGAGGGGACCTGTACGTTGTCGGACGGTTCCGTCCTTATCTGGTCTCCTAGCTCGGAGGAGCAATGTGCCTACACTCTTGTCTCTAAGATGTCAGGGCACATGATGGGAACAGTGTGGCTTAGCGACGATAACGAGTTTGCTCTATCGTGGAATGATCGTTCCCCGGTCCTATCAGACTGTACGAAACAGCTTACAGTCACCGATCAGGGCTACGCTATCCATATTTCTCGGCGATATTCCCGCAGCGCTCCCAACAATGTCGGCTTGGTCACTTCTAATCAACTCTCCGCCCAGCTGCTGGCTGTGGAGGGTGCTACGTACATCTCTGTGGCAGCGCTTTTCCGCAATGCCTTACGCACTCTCTGTGAAAGGACTAATGTCCTAGGTACAAGCCTTCATACCGCGCTTCGTTCCCACCCAACCTCTACCATGCGTGCCCTGCTTGGTCGGCGAGACATTTCAGCATCCTATTTAGGACACGGATACATCCAAATTCGCCGGTGCGTGTCTTTACCTGCCTCTTCATTAACGCTCCTACCCTTCAACGACACTTGCTATGACCTCCCTCAGGTGCAACTTCACCTCCCTAGCGGGTCTCGACTACAAGCGTTCATCGACCCGATTACTGGTGTTATTCGCCGGCACGCGAGCGTTATTGACTGTGCTGATTCCAACGTCTTCGTCTTCCCGTCTCCCGATGGGCTTCGAGCCTTCTCCCCTTCGAGCGGCGCTTGGTCTTCCATTTCTCCTCAAGACGTCACAACAATTCCCTCTATCTCTCATTTAGGGACAATCAACTTCAGCCCTCCTCTCACTATTTTCCATAACCTTGTCTTGACTAACCTCAGCGAGGCATCTGGCAATTACCAATTGCAGGAACTGTGGACGGCGTACGACCACGAGCGAATCTTGGAGCATTTCTCCCACGTCGACACCGCCCGTAGCGCCACTTCGTCTATAGCGGCTACCACTTCGGCTAGTTCACTTTCATCATATTTCTTTTCCTTTTCTTCTTTTGATTTTTGGGTTTCTTTTTGCTGCTTTCTCGTTAGTATTTCTTTTGTCAAATCACTATTCGTGCTCTATCTAAGATTGTCTTCCCCTCAATGGGCCGAAAGAATCCCTTGGTGGATTACACAGAACGCGCCGCCAAGCTCGCCTCTCGCGAGCACACCGCTTCCTCCCAAGCGCTCGGTACCCCCTGCCTTGGATTATCGTCGGGCCCCATTGCAGCTCGACCTCTCCCAAATCGAAATTGACGCTGCTACCGTGTGGCCTCCACGTGCATCGGTGGTCCCTATCAACGTCCTGTCCTTGGACACTCCCCACCCCTATTTCGTGGCTCAAATCCCCATTCGCGCCAACGGGGTCCATATGCTCGCATTAGTGGACACAGGTGCCGGCGTCACGGTGGCTAGCCAGTCCATCCTGCCTCTTTTAGGGGTCTTTCATTTGGATCCGTCGCGTGTCCCCGCAGCTGTCGGCATGGCTGGTATCCCTGTGAAGTTCGTAGGCAGTGCTTCCATTTCCTTCCGTCTGGGGTCCCATACCCTGGATCACGTCGTCCACTTCACAGAGGCGGAGTGTGTCCCTCGCGCCATAGATGCGTACAATATCATTTTAGGCAATGATTTCTTACAGCGCCTACCCCTTTGGGCGCTCAACTACTCGCAACGTTCGTTTCTTGTCGGCGGTGAGCCCCTACCCATTATTACCTCAGCTAAATCTTCGGCAACCTCCACCCCTGCTGCAGCCCCTTCCTTCTCAGTCCACGTCGCCACCACCACCGTGTTGCCCCCAGCCTCCGAGGTCTTCGTTCCCTGCTACGTCACTAACGTCGACCAGGAATGCAATACGCTTCTCGTGGACGGGTCAGTCCTTTCTCCAGACGACGTCATGGTCGCTCCTTCGGTATCCCGCGCGAACGCGCCACAGCTGTTTCTCAGCAATCCTACGGACACACCAAAGGTCGTTTATAAAGACCAGTATCTAACCTCAGCTCATCCAATCCTCGAGTTCCCTAATGGCACCTTGGTCGAACCCCACCAACGTTTTTAGCACAGTAAATGCCCTCACAGAGGCCTCACGATCCACCACCGCGGACGCTCCATCGTCTTGGTCTCTCGACTTAGCGAATGCCAATGTGACTACTGATCAACGCCAGCAACTCATAGCTCTTTTCCACGAATACAGCGATCGGATTTCGACATCTTCGTACGATCTCGGGTCTTACGATCACACCCGAATAACCATTAAGACCACTACCGAGATTCCACCTTCGCGGCATCGCCCTACGCGTATACCGGCCCGCTTCCAGAAGGAATTGGATGACCATATCAACAAACTCCTTCAGTCCGGCCGCATTGTCGAAAGCGATACGCCATGGGTACATAACACTGTTCTGGTTAAAAAGAAGGACGGCTCTCTTCGCGTCTGCCTGGATTTTCGCCCGTTGAACGACATCACTATTCCCGATCGTTACCCTCTTCCTCGCATTGAGGACCTCCTGGAGAGGGTAGCAGGGAAACGGTACTATACCTCATTCGACCTAGCATCGGGGTACATGCAACTGCTCCTGTCTCCAGAAAGCCAGGCGAAATGCGGTTGGGCCACCCACCGGGGCATTTACCAGTTTGTCTATCTCCCCTTCGGGTTGCGCAACGCGGGCGCGTACTTCTGTCGCGCCATGTCTCGCATCCTTGCAGGTTTGGACAACAACTGTCTGGCATACCTCGACGATATCATCGTTTTCGACGACGACTTTGACTCTCACTTGCGCTCGTTGCGTAAGGTTCTTGATCGCTTCCGCACTTTCAACATCAAAGTTTCCGGTAAGAAACTGACCAGCATCGCCCAGTCCAAGATCACTTTCCTGGGCCATGAAATTTCGGGCTCCTCCTATGCCCCCGCCGAGCGGAACATCACGGCGATCCGTGATTTACCCATCCCCACCTCCGTTCGTGCGGTCAAAGGCTTTCTCGGTATGGCCAATTTTTTTCGCAAATTCGTCAAAGATTTCGCCTCTATAGCAGCCCCTTTGTACGCCTTGTGCAAAAATAACGCCGCATTCCTCTGGGGAGAAGCCCAAGTCACGGCGTTCAACCGACTTAAACAAATCTTGACCAGTCGCCCGTGTTTGGCTTTCCCGCGGAACATGGATTTTATTCTCCACACCGATGGCAGTAAAACAGCCGTGGGCGCAGCACTTATGCAGGCTCAGGATCCGGCTCTCCCGCCAGTGGCTATCGGCTACTTCAGCAAAACCTTGTCACCATCCCAGCAAAAATGGAGTCCTACTCATATTGAACTATTTGCCATGATTAGCGCGCTTCGATTCTTCCGCTCCACCATCTATGGTAACCATACGCGGGTTTTATGCGATCATCAACCGCTCACCTTCCTTTTGCGTCACCGTAAACCACACGATCGTCTGGCTCGCTGGGTCGTCGAGCTACAAAGCTTCGACATCACTATAGAGTACCTCAAAGGTTCCTCCAATGTGATAGCGGACCATCTCAGCCGGAACGCCAACCCTGCAAATCAGTTCGTCGATGGCACGCCAGAAAGCGACGACATCATCGAATTTCCTAGATGCCTCTTACAGCGACCTTCCTCACATCCCTCACGTACTGAGGAACAGTCCCACCCAGAACCTGCGTTAGCACCACCTCTGTACGTGCGCCCGTACGATGTCTTGCTTGCGCAGAAGCAGGACCCCCTCTGTCGAGCTATCATGTACTTTCTGGACACCGGCAAGCCGCCGGAGGATGTTTCACCGGAGCTCCGTGAGTCCTGTCTCCAGCTCGCCGCCTCTTGCATCCTTAAGAAAAATGGCTGCCTCTACTACGCGAGCCAGAGCCCGTCCAAGACCCGTTCGTCCCGTGTAGTTCTCTTCATCCCCCACCACCTTCGCGAACCCATTTGCATTGCACTCCACAGCAGCCCTACAGCTGGGGGTCATTTCAGCTGGAAAAAGACGTTGGCGAAGGTCTCACGCCGCTTCTTCTGGCCCTCCATAAGAACCGACGTCTTTAACTTCGTCCGGTCCTGTGAAGCCTGTCAACGCAAGCGACCTCACCCCCTCTCCCGCGAGCTCCTAATCCCTGTCCATGCCGGTGCCGTCTTCGACAAGGTGTATCTCGATCTCAGCGGCCCTTATCACCGTACGTACCCCTCGCGACAATAGGTACATCGTCTGTCTCATCGACCACTTTACCAAATTCGTCATCTCTGCTCCGCTCCCGGATTGCAAAGCCGTGACCGTGGCTCACGCCATCGTGAACCACTGCGTGCTCGTTTTCGGGGCCATGACTACACTCATTTCGGACAATGCCTCGTACCTGAAAGGCGACCTTCTTTTCGAGCTCGGCCGACTCCTGCGCATCGGTCGCTATTTCACCACCCCTTACCATCACGAGGGCAACGGTGCTTGCGAACGCATGTTCGCTACCTTTCAGGAAATGTTGCGCACTTACATCAGCGCTGACCAGTGCGATTGGGACCTTTTCTTACCGGCATGCACACTCGCCTATAACACCTCCATTCATACCAGCACCGCAGAGTCTCCTTTCTTCATGATGTTTGGTCGCGACCCCGTCTTGAATATCGACCTCCTCCTCAAGCACAAGCTTGAGGGTCACGTCGCGACGGACGACGATAGCAGCATGTACAAGGAGTCCCTGGTCCAATCCCTCCACGCTGTTTGGACTTCCGCTGCCGCGCACAATCGCAAGCGCAGCGCCGCGATGAAGCGCCAATATGACAAAAGCGGTCTCCCTCCTTTGAACATTCAGGTGGGCGATCGCGTTTACTTACGCGACTTCGCACCCAAGCTGGGGCTTTCGTCAAAACTCTGTTATCCCTGGCTGGGCCAATTCCGGGTACTTGCGGTCAACCCGCCACACCTCACCATCGTCAGCATCACAGCTCCTCAGTCCAAACCAAGAAACGTCCACATGAACCAAGTCAAAAAGTGTTTCACTCTTTCCGGACCAGTTCTTCACTTCCCCATGGTGTCCAGAGGCTGAGGCACAAGCCCTCCAGTTAGCAGGCGCGCAGCCGGTTGCGGTCGTCGGTTACTCCCACACCGTTCCACCCCGGGATCATTTCGAGTCATCACCCCGCGAGCCTCTCACATCGCACCCCTACTACACCAGGCTCAGACAGCGTCTCTCGTCATATTAAGGGGAACCCTCATCCGACGCTCGAACGAGGCCTACGGGTTCGGTCCCGCATACCATTCCGGGTCACACCATCCCCCTCCCCGATATTTTCTTCACCTTCACGGTCTTTCATCTTTCTCCTTTCCAGATCGATCACTATGAGCCGCACACCCGGCGCCGACCAGCCTCACCCAAGCCCACCTACCAGCCGGGCTTCTGTCCAGAATTCGAACACCATTTCACATAGGTCTTCGGGTGAGTCTCTTCTCTTTGACTTCACATTAGCACCAGACTATGATTTTGATTCGTCGTTTTCCTATTGCAGACCAACCGCAAAGAACAATCCCTGATTGTCGGGCTTATCGGGCTTCTGCCCAGTCCTCAGACACACTTCGCCCTTCGCCGACGCGGCCGCTCAGCACTTCACAGCCCTGCGGCCCTTATCGCCCTTCACAGTCGAGCGAGTCGGTCCACGAGGAGTACGAGGTCGCGTCACCGTATCAGTTACACAGTGAATTATCAGGTTTGCCTTCTAACACTTACACGGTACCTAGTTCGCCCCCACTTACTCCAACTCTTCCAGCAGCCTCCACCGGTCTACAGCACTTGTCTCTGGATCCTGTGGACGCTCCCTTCTGCGGATGCACCTTCTACATCATCACAACCTGCTCCGTCTCGCCATGCCTCCGATGCCTTCAGGGTGTTTCGCGAGCCCTCATCAGCATCTTCCAGTCGGAGCCCGGCGGCTGCATTGGCGTGGGAGGTCCCGCACAAGCGGCCTCGTGGAGAAGAACCTCGTTTTCGGCTGCAAGGAATCCAGCCCCATCCAGCCCACTCACCTCGATGGGACGAGACTCCTGACCACTATCGTAACCAGTTCTCCCACCTCCATCCATGGGCCAAGCTATGTCGATCCCTCGCCCAAACTTCTGCGACCTGTCGGAGGACCAGGTGACAGCCGAAGCTCCTTTGCACGTCTACCGTCAACTGTCTGCTCAAGGATACTTCGCCAGTCGTTTTGTGCGCTCTCTCTTTCCACGGCGTTTTGTCGGCACACCATCCTCATCCAACAAAGTGCCTCTTTTGGAGCTACAACGACTTCAAGATATCGTCGCCTTTCGTCAACATGCGATCAGGCTGACCACGGAGCTCCTTGATCACCGATATCGGGATGACTCAGGAGATATCCAGGATTTACCACCGACCCCTCCTGGTACCCCTCCTTCCTTGCTGTACCCACCTTCTCGGAATGGAATTCGTCCCGTGCTTTACCAGGTTGTCAACAGGAACTACGGTCAAGGAGTAATACTGGAGGCGAAGGATTTTTTCATACCAGGTCCTGATCATCGTGAGCTCCAATGCATTCCTATGACACAGGACTCCGTTAACCATTTGACGCGTACTCGTGGTTTCGACAAGACACAGGTCTCCGTCAAAGACTTCGTATGGGTCCTGTCTCTCCGCCCTACTTTGAAGACACTCAACTCTTGGGACCGCAAGACCATCCTGACTCAGTCACGGGTCCCTCGACCCTCCGTCATTGACTCTGGTCATCCATACTTCTTTCGCGTTCACGAGTTCATCCTCGTTACTCCGCCTCGGGCGAAACGCAACGCCTTAGGCATCGTCCTCGCGGTGAATCGGCGCGGCCCAGAAGGAACTGCCAACAATCTCCTGGTTGCGTTCGAAGGCTGTCGCGAGGCTGTCCGTGTCACTCAATCTATCTGTGATTTCCCTCTCGACCAAGTGGAACGTGACGACCTTCTTCTGGCCGAGGATGCGGCCAAACGTGTCCTGCGCAATGCGTTTCTCGCATACGGCCATCTCTGTGGGCGCTCAGCGGTTCCTCACAAACGCAGTACGCCGATTCGTACCCGCCCACCCCGATGAGGCGATTCTACCGTTATGGATCACTACGATGTCCGCGGAAGACCGTCGATGGGTCACTGAACGTATGGGAGAATTCACGAGTTATGCGATAACCCGGCCTCCGCTCGTCTTCGCATGGGCCAGCTCTTTTCCATGGCCAGCGCTGCACTGGCGTCCCAAGCTACGCTGACGGACGATCGCCGCACTCATCAAGTTGTAGCAGCGGTCCCTAGTCTGACGGCTATCCCCATGCGTCTCCAGCTCGAAGCTCTCTGCGATGGCCACAGATGGCGGGTGGTCACGAGCCAGACCAGTGGATATATGGATAGTCGACTCAACGGTGGTCCTCCGTACACGGATCGCCAGTGCCCAATTTTCCATGTCAACGTCGAACCATCCAGGTCGAGCTGCACTCGGAGACTCGCACACGCAACGCTCTCCGGAACACCGTGCGACGTTACAGCACCTTCGACCCCGTTCGGAACATCAGGACAGTGCCACTATGTCTTCGCCTCGGCCGCGTCCCCTCTGGCACCGATCCCGTCTTCGACTTCTTGGCTTGCGACAAGTTATCGACGTTGCTTCGACCCGGGGCGCCCACGGTCGCCAATACTATAATGGACACGGTGTACGCCTAGCCCGTCGCGCCCGATCCAAGCGGATCCTGCACCTTCTCAACAAGCTATTTCGCCGATAACCGTACGTCTTCAGTCACGACTTTTACACCTTCGTGAGGACCAAATCCGTGCTGTTCGCCTCGGCCTTGCGGACCACCCACTTTTAGCCATTCAAGCAGCTTATGGTACCGGGAAGACGGTGGTCGGAGCCCTTATTGCGGCGGAACTCGCCACGCCCGGGTAGCCTCATCGTGGCCACGGCTACCACAAACGTGGCTGTGGCTCAGTTCACAGATACCCTGTTGGGTTTGGAGGAGTACCAACACAACCTCACGGTACTTCGCTTCGTGGCAGACACGGCGCTGCAAGAAGGCGCCCCGACAACGTCGGTAGACTTGCATCGAATCCTTTCCGACCTTTTGGTCAATTTCTCAGACACACTTACCTCGCGGGAGCAAGAGCGGCTTACACTCTATGCTCATGGGCGCCGACTAATCGAGCGCGTGCTCTTCAATCCAGCAGCAACCTTGGAGATGTCAGACGAGGAACGCGAGGAGTATCGGATCGCGGAGAACAACAATTCTCTGGCTACAGAAAAAGCGGTCACAATTATGTTTCGAGTACGGTTTCCGAATATAATTTGCATGACGGTGTCATCCTCTTCTCAACACCACGAGACCTGGCGGCCTCTTTCACGATGCTCTGTCCTCCTGTCGCCTGATTATTGGCGACGAGGCCTCGCAGATACCAGAGCCAGCTTTCGTCGCCATGGCAGCCTCATTTTCCTACGGCACGCCATATATACATCGGAGACGTATACCAACTGGAGCCCCACACACGTTGCCCCAAGTCATCCCTACCGGCTCAACTGGGCAGCAGAGGCGTCATGGACCTGCTCTTCCACAAGGACGTTCCCCTTCGCCCCACTCGTCACCACGTTCCGGGCACACCCTGCACTCAACGAGTTGCCCAACATACTGGTCTACAATGGCTCACTCAGCAGCGGGATTACCGCTCGTCAACGAACCCTTGTGACAGAGCGACTTTCCCTACCGAACCCGTCCCTCCCTCTCGTAGTCGTCGATGTGGATGGTCGTTCTCGATCTTCTCACACCCAGTCGCACTCCAATGATGAAGAAGCCAACTGCACGCTCGACCTTGTTCAAGCTCTTCTCGATAAGAACGTCCCTCCTTCATCGATCGCAATTATAACATTCTATAAGGATCAACAGCGGATGCTCGAACGCAGCGCAACTCGCTTCGGCGTTCGTCTACACACGGTCGATTCTGTTCAGGGTCACGAGATGGACATAGTGATCATACTCACCACTCGGACAAACATCGATCGCTCCTCTGGCGACTTCCTCGACGATCTCAGGAGACTCAACGTAGCCCTCACACGATGTCGTCACGGCCTATTCATCCTAGGACGAGTAGAGGCCCTCCGCAACCTCCCCAACTGGAATCGTCTCCTCCGTTGGGCAGCCACCCGTGAAGTGATCATCAGCCGCTCTTCACTACCGGATTTATTTCTTTAGCTCTTTCCGTCGATACTTCCGGTGAGTAATTTCTACTTCCTTCCAATTTCTTTTCTCTATTTTTCATATTTCTCCGTCCGAGGACGGACGTTTTTGTGAAAGGGGGGAGGTGTAAGAGTTAGGGAAGTGAAGAATCGATATTGAGCTCAGCTTCATCGATGACGCTTGCTGATTACAGGAGGCGGAGCAGTACAAAAGGCGAGGAGACGAGGCATGCGGGATTGGAAGGCAACTGGAGGACGGTCCTGCTGGACATCGACGTCGGACACACTCACCCCACGGACCTCCGCCGCCCTCGGGCCCAGAAGTAATATATTCGGTCAATATTCGGTCAGTATAACTACTAATAAACTGTTAATATTCCACTTGTGCTCACTCTATGCTGAAATTGGGTGCCGGAATCTAGGTTCTCTACTGATTTGAAAACATCTCTTTCAGGCATACTTTATCTAAATCTACCATGTTTCCTTACACAGGTCAAGGAAAATCAAAACATAATTTGAAATAAAGCTCTGATTTTTTGGCTTCTTTTTTTCTACAGCTGCGCGAAAAGAGTTTATTTTTCCGCAGCATTGTCATATGTCGGTAGGCCATAACCCTATTCGTTTATCTTCTGCAGCACATGTTGTGCCATAAAAGACGGGTCATTATCATGCAGGAGAGGTCCTCTTCTGTTGACGAATGCCGGCTGCAAGCGCCGAAGCATTTGCTGCCAATTCCTGGATTAACTTTGTCGCCGTATACGCCTCAGGCTGCTTGTGCCATGTAGGCACATTTACTATTTTCAAGATCTACAGCTTTTGCAGGTGGAGCCACGTTTTTTTGTGCGAAATTGCTCCGGTTGCTTTGTCAGATCGGAATAGGGGTGCCAGCGTTACCTTCATGCCTTTATGCAGCTGTGTATAGCCAGCACCTTCGCTTGGCATACCCTTAAGGTTGTTTTTCGTGCACTTTGAGCTCGAGACCAGTCTTCGGACGGTGTCAGAATCCGTGCCCAGTACATGGGCCATTCCATCGAAGACGAGCTTCGCCAATTTCCTTGACTGCTGTCAGAAATCTCAGATACGTCCTTTGACTAGGGCTGTAAACAAGGGCGCAGCCGCTAAAAGTCACACATGCCTTACACTGGAACCTTCTGAAGGAAGCTAGAGCTGGTGGAAGCAGTAAGGGGTGACAAAGAGGACAGTAGCTGCTCATCCCCTAGTCAAGTGATTTGGGAATGA